CTTGTTGAGATTTCTTCTCCTTCTCGATGTCTTATCTCTAGGTACAAAAACGAAGACTTTTAAAGTTCAGCACGTCTCACGACGACCTTACGAACAGGGAAATTACTGCTGTCAATCGTTGGCTTCCAAAACCGTCTCGGCATTCGCGCGAAATCGACCTCGCCACATTCCACGGAGAGGAGCCCACTTTAAAACTAATGGCTAAGTATGAAAAATTCTCATCGGTTTGTCATTTGACCAGTTGTAAAAATGCAAGACGAGTGATTGAGGACAACGGTATAGATCCAGAAATCAGAACATTCGACTCGCCTCTTGCGAAAGAGTCCGTAAAAGTCAGAAGTGTTGGATTTGAGGCAAATACAGACACCAACCTCCGAGAGCTGAAGAAAATCCTGAAGGAAAAAAAAAGGCTACAGGTCAAGTGGCTGCTTAATCTTCATGGTGATTCAGGTTGGTGTAGAACAGTGTTTGTTTTTCTCTACACGTTCGCGCACAGACGGCCCATGCTCCAGCTGTGAGATGATCATCTTGCAAAATAAGAGTCGTGGCGGAATTATAAGAGTTTGTATGGGAATATTTACGACCGCTCTTAAAAAAAAAATACAGTCAAATTCTCACACACCGTCACCTAGCACCCGTAGTTCTAAAACAATTTATTGATGCCAAGTGACCGGTGGTCTTCGGCGAGGCACAGTTTGCAAAGGAGGCAGGGTTAACAAGCTGGTTTTCAACCGTCATGTGTACGCGGGACGTCTAAATAGCGTCGGTTTCACGGGGAAGATCGAGTTTGTAGTGAATTGAAATGAAACTACAGTATATGTGCTTAAACTCTGCGTTGGATTTGTGGCCGCTCGGTCGTTTTGAGCTTGGAGTTTTCGCTTCTCGGATCGAGCGTTCGAAAATGGAGTGTGCAGCCTTGGGCTCTTCTTATGTTTTCTTATGTACGTAGAAAACCTAGAAATGGGTAACTCGCTGAAATGGGTTCTTTTCAACATAGTAAGCGGTCAGATAACAAGCGATGCACTGTGGAAGTAAGGTGAGGTATTTTTATTGAGAATTTGACTGAATTTTTTTATTCCTAAAAGGTCGTAAATATTCCCATACAAACTCCAATAATATTTCGCCATGACTCTTATTTCGCAAGATGATCATCTCACAGCTGGAGCTTGGGTTGCCTGTGGTTCGCGGAGCCTTACTCAACAAGTTCGATAAATTTAGCCAGCTCCTGGCAAACACTCGAGGACTTTCCAGGGGGCAGCCTGTGAACTGCTTTCTTTTCAGGGCTTCCATAACGACACCGAAAGACAAATGGAACAGAAAATGGTAAACGAACAAAGCGAGCCCAGCTTGAATTAGAAATAGCCACCGTTTGCTGCCCGTCTGTACTTATAGGTAAAGGAATAAGAAAAGAAAAAAACAAAGGAAAGTTGTAGTATGTTCAGCCTGTGTAACTAGCAGGATTTTTTTTGTTTTTGTTTTTGTTTTTTTGCTTTTGTTTTTTTCTTTTGCGCTCTTTTAAAAAACGATGAAAGTCGGAGGCGCGAGCGGGATAAACACCTCTCCCTCCTGCTTTTTCCATCCCAAACCTTCCGCGGCTTTCCTGCTAGTTTTCACGTCGCTGCCGCTAGATGCTTCAAAGCGTGCACAAAACCACCAGCTACGTCAGCTAAGCCGTGTGAAGTTCATGAAGAATGTGAGAGTCACTTGAACATTTTATGCCTGAGACTTCGCTCGGAAAGCGATATAATGCATATCCTTAAGAATAGGGGCCGGGGAGCCCGTGCTCCTTCTCCCGCCCGTTCTTTTTTAGTTACCTTATTGGTGCTTACTGTCGCGGGTACTTGATGTCACGATTTTGGCGAGACGGTATTTTGCAGGGTTTTATTTTGTGATTTCAATAGGCAATTATCTGAAGAGGCATCAAATTTCTCAATTTAAGCGTTCTCAATTTAATTTAATTTTTTTCAAAATGTACTAACTTTTAACAACTGTACGAAAGATATTCCATAAAATTTGTACGAATCTAATGATTCAGATGAAGATGGTAGCTAGATTCTCTACTTCATATGCAAAATCTTTGCAAATGAAGTGCAAATAAAAAGAAATTGGCTCAGAGATCACGTGAAAGTGACAAAAAAAAACATTTCTCGAACAGTTTTTCAAAATGCACCGAAGCGCGTGTTAAAAATTTTCAGGGAAAGGATTACTCTGGACCAAGAGAATTTCAACTTAAATATCAGTTGATATTCTCTTGCTCTGGACACTTCCAAGATGATACATCACAATAATTGCTGTCTTCTGGCCCCGTCACTTCAAAATTCGTTCCCAAAGGTCTGTAATGTGCCATAATGGCTTCTATGTAACTCAAAATTCTTTCTTTCCAAGGTGCTATACTAACGTATGCATTAATTTTTATCACCACGAACAGGGATCGTAAACAAGAAGCCTTCACGCTACCGCATGGCTGACGATGACGTCAACAGGTGGCATCACTACATCCTGGACATTACAGACTATGCCAAGACTTCATTGTGTCGCATCCTGGTCACACCTCGCGTATATTCAAACTTGATTCCCTATGATCCTACAAAACTGGGTGGTCCATGGTACTGGGACCTGGTGAATGACGAGCATTACTGCTTGCAAAGAGTGTTAGGTTACGATGGCGAGGAGCGCCCTTTGGTGACTGAGTTTTGGCGGGAATCTGACTTCATTGGTTTGTCTGTCCCAGGCCCCGACTGGAGCGTGATACATGACGTCGGTAAGGGTTGTATAAAGTTTTAATAAAACACTTTTCGTGTAACTAATTTGAGGGAAAATGCAGGGGAAGTATGTTTTCCCGCCAATTTTAGCTATTTGGGTAAATAAGTGCATTATTGTTACAAGAAGTAGATTGGCTGTCACGTCTACAATCCACCTGTCGTGATTCTGCTGCCGGCTGATCTTTTTTTCTGCCTCAATGATGAAAATGAAGAGTTTGAGGGTCGTATCTCTTGATTAGGAAGCAACAGATATTCAATATCCGCCTAGTATAGATTTGGCAAGCACTAATTACCAGGTTCACAAACGAGGTTCACAAACGAGGTCTGAATTTCCGCCTAGGTTGTCTCCCGTAGGCCAGGGTAGAGAAATAAATCATCAGCTGTGTTAGATTCGCATTAAACGCTATTCGGTTGACAGTCGTAAAACCAAAAGGGAACAAGTCTCGACGGAAAGAAGAGATATCACAAGGAGCCAGTCAGAAATCAAAGTAAAAAAAAGCAGCAATCTCTTCATAGGCGAGAAAAATTGAGAGATTAGTATGCGATTGTTTTCAGTTTTGCGCCTGATTAGTTAAGAGAATGGACCAATCAGAAAGCAAAGAAATGCAAAACCAACGCAATCCCGGATCTCTTTCGACACTCCATAAAAATTGCTGTAAAAATTGCTGTAAAAGTTAAACACATTTTTAACATTTCAGAGTTCATCCGCTCCGCGACGTCTCGTGCCAGTAAAGGAGAAATCGAAGACGCTGAGCTACTTGTCTTGTCCTGGGTTCACAGCCAATCAGAAAAATTTATCAGAAGCTTAAGTGGCATCGAAGGATTGGGACAGAGTCGCTTGCAACGAGCCTTGCGTGATACTCTGAAGGAGCTTCCCTCTATTTCAAAGAAATTTGATCATTCCTGCGAGCCTAACACTATTTATGTCCATAACGATGCTGTGGCAACGCTCGCACATTCACCCCCACGGGAGAGTTTTTGTCGCGAGGTGGGAATCTCGGGTAGTTTAGTTTTTGTCAAAGCTTGTCTCGGTTTACTGTGCCAAAGTCAGAATTTGAACGATTTGAGAGAGTACCTTGTTGGTAACCCTGTGAGTCTGCAAGCTCTCTTTCAGTGGTTATTGGATTAAGCGAATAAGTGACTGTAAGATTGCAAATCAACGGTGTTAGAAAAGTAACTTTTTTCTTAAAAGATTTCTACGAGTTTTGTGGAACCTCCTGGTCGTAGAACTTGACTTATTTATTACTGGACATTACAGTCCACCGCTCGACTATATGCGTTCTAAGTTATGACCTAAATTGTGACGTAACTAAGTTATCAAACCATGGAAATAAAATATATTTTTTGGACGGCCTGAATTGATATTGGCTTCTTATATATATGTTCAAATTTTACGAACGCAAGATTTTTTTCTTCTCTTTCTAATGTGAGATGAAATTTGAGACCAGTTGCAGCAAACCTTACGCAACTGTTGTCAGTGTCTCCGCTTTTCAGAAAGGGCCTTGGTGAAAATAGCATATATGGGGAACTTGATAAATAATTACATCTAAAAGTTTTGCATTGAATCAATACCTTCTCTGCGGGTCATTAATCAATACACTGGTAGTATCATATCATTATCGTTGAACTTGGAGGAAAGATATCGATCCAGAAATCTCTTAAAAACGAAATCAAAATTTTGAGAAATTTTGTAAGACAAAGACATTTAAAGTATTAGATAAAAACCCCTTGTCTTAACGACGTGACTAAACTTGTAAATACTTCATTGTGTAAGACGCTCACATAATTTTCAATAGGTTCTTTGAAGTGCTTTAAAGAGGGCAAATTCAAGATGTCTTAATTTTCCACGGATCATTTGTTGGCAGTAATTATCTCGGAAGTTTGCTAAGATCGCGCTTTTAATTCTTCCGGCGAACATATCAAAAAAAATTGTGCTCGCAATGGGTTCTCAGTCCCGAATATTGGTAATAACCCGAGCTATAAAAAAGCATAAACACTTCTTTTCGTACCCAAAATTATTACCAATGCAGTTGCAGTTGATATAGCACTTTGTAAACTAATTGACGATGATCAAGAGAATATTAAATCTTTGGATGATGACAGTACAATTTGGCCAAATTGAACAGTCATTGCGTGAGGAGAGTATATTGAGAATCAACGTGAAGTATTTCCGAAAGGTTCTTTCCTCTAGTTGAAGACAATTACACCGTGTAAATTTATAAACCTTTGATTGACCGGACGTCCGCACTTTACTGGGAGAGAAATGGTGGTTTCTGTGATCACCATTCTACTGTTAGTTGAGATTGCTGTTCAGTTTGAATACGTTACATCTATAAACCCAATGCACTCCAATGGTAGGTTCGTTACTTTTTCTCGTAAGTTATTATTGTTGGAAGGCGTGCGTAATGGCAACGAGGGGTGAGGAACACGAAGTAAAAAAAAATTGGACTCCCAATGAAAAATTGCAAAAAGATGTTGAATTCGATAAGATGTTGAATCCTTCCTCGACTTAGGTCCTCCTGTGTCAAGCACGCCCAGAAAAACTACGAAAATAAAAACTGCTACCAAAAATTTTCCCCTTTAAAAACATGACTAAAGAAACGTATTTTGATAAATACCATTGCTAATGAGTAATCTTTTCTTTAAAATCTGGGATTTCCGACCATTCCTCTTCACAATACCGCACGAACACCCTATGAAATAACTTGGGATAGTGGAAGAGAACGTTGTCTCGTATCTCTTCCGCTTTACGAAATACGCCGAGAGGGATAATTAGAATCTGAAGTTACTCTGTTACACTAAGTGTTTTTGTGATTGTAAGCTGTAATGTTCACTTGTAAATGTACAGTCGTTTATAACTATTTCAAAATGCACCTAACTTGTATTTTAAAGTTACATGCGAAGATTGTTGTGATATTTGAAACTCGCACAATACATATTTCTGACTAAATGTCCCTTTCGGAAAGGTAACTGTTTAGACAATGCAAATATTTTTTTGTCGCTTGAAAGACCACTTGAAATAGAGCTTTACTAATGGAAATGAATCACTTTTAGTTTACTAACGAAATTAAGGCTTTGACTGCGCCAATATCCAATTTCAAGAGGAACAAAAAAATCTCTTCTCAGCTTATGACTGTTCTTTCGTGGACTCTCCCTATTACAAAAAGATTGACAAGATGCGGGAAGGAGGCAAAATGGGGATGCAAATACCAACAAGAGTAGATTGAAAACAGCTCGAGCTCTGCAATTTTGACGCGCCTTTCGTTGATCCAGCGATTTTATCAATTATGCAATTGTTAATAAACTTTCAAACTCTTTCGTAAATAAAAGAATAGACGTGAATTGAAATATGACATATGATTTATTTACACTCCACCAACTTTTTTTTACTGTTTTTGTTTATTCAACTTTTACCTATAATTCAACAATGAAGACCCACAAGGTGGAAATGTTAAATAAACCATTATTATTATCACTACTATAAATATCGTCATCATCATTATCAATATCCTTATCATTGTTATTATTATTTGTGGTAGTATAGGCATTTTCACCATCTCTGTGTTTCAGTCTGTTCTGAGCCGTTGGGAATGCAGAGCCGTCTAATCCCTGACTCAGCTATAACAGCTTCCTCCGAGCGAATTAATTATCTGCGAGCTTCCCGGGCCAGACTGCACATGCGTTCTTTTTACCCATGGCTACCAGCCGGTTGGTCAGCGGCTGTCTCAGACTACAAACAGTGGCTTGAGATTAACCTTGAATTGAAGACAATAGTGACGGGGATTGGTACCCAGGGACTTAGTAGCAGATGGTCACCTGATCAGTGGGTTACTAGTTACCAGGTCTCACACAGGGACAAAGCAGATGAAAAATGGGTCCACTATCAGCAACAAGGACACATAAAGGTATTTGTTAAAAGTGGTCAAACAGTCTCTTCGATAAGTTGATGTGACACAAAATCAGTGGCTAGAAAGAGAGGGAATTAATAGCCCTTGGTGGTGGCGTCATTACTGACCTAGTACTTGCCATTGATGGTAATGAGACGGGGGGAGGGGTGGGTTTAGATTGCTTTGGTTACAAGTTATCGTTCATCTTCACTTCGCTTTATGTCGTGGTACGCACGCGTGGGGAAGGCTTTTTTCAGTTTTGCCTTTAGGATCGGAGCTTACAAACGTATAGCTTTCAGCGCTTTGAAGAGGGTTGGGAACTTAAGTGAGAGAAAATCTAAAAAACTAACACAACTGTGGTCTAATTTCTTTCTTCAGACATTTGTAGGCAATAAGGATGCTGAGAGTGTTGTTATAAACCAGGTGGAGCCCTCCTTTGAAGCTGTTTGTGTCCGACTTCATCCACAGTCGTGGCATCGCTGGATTTCAATGAGAGTGGAGCTGTTTGGATGTCCAGGTAACAAAAGTTATTTCACCAGCTATATTTTCCAATCATCAGTCTCCTTCCACTCGTGTTAAGTCAAAAAGCTTCAGTTTAAGGATATTTTTATGCGTTGTGCCACCAAAAACCGCGTTGGGCTACATTTTTGCCGGGGTGTCTCAAAAAGTAGAAGATGTTAATCGGAAGGTGGCACATAAACGTAAGTTCGTTTAAGAAAAAAAAGACTCCCTAAAGGCTCAGATAGAAAAAGATGGAAGAAAAAGAATAGGAACTAGAGTAAGACAGGAGAACCAAAAGATGAAGGTTCATTTCTTCCTAAAGGGGCTAAGTTTCTAAAGAAACTCTGGTACTGCGGTGTTGGGGGTATAACAAAATAATTTGGTTTTAACAATTGGATTGATAATATCAATTGGCCTCTTAAAAAAGTTTTTCTATACCTAAAATTCACAAACCGGACGACCCATTTTCTCTACCAGTAGTTACCCTACTAAAACTTCAGAGAATCAGAGAAAATTCTCCTGCGTGGAAAGTAAAATTGTTTCCTTGTGCCTTAATGGAGAGAGGGTGAAGTCATTACGAAATCAATTTGAGACTCACATGAAGTTATTTTAATGAAGACGTTATATCTCGTTTTAGTCTCTTCGTGTTTTATGACTCTTGGCTTGCGAGACATGCGCATACCAGACATAGCTTTCTCGTCGTCGTCCATTTTGACTCAAGCTAATGCTCCATCTCGTGCTCGACTCCACCTACAAATTGGAAAATCTCAGGCAGCAGGCTGGGCACCAGCACGTGGTGACAACACACCCTGGCTTCAAGTGGATTTGGGGAATAGGATGATCATAGCTGGAATTGGAACCCAGGGTGGGCACTACTTTTGGTGGTCAACTGGAGGCTGGATTCATAAGTTCAAGGTGTCTTTTAAGAGCGATGGAGAAGAATGGCAGATATATGGCCAGAACACGTCAGAGGAGGTAGGAAAATCAAATGTTACAGTACTTCTTTTGCATTTACAAAAGCATGTGGAAACCGATACAGGCTATACTGAGCCCGCGATAAAATTTTTTCTGTTAAGGATCTTTTGAGGCGTGAAATAATCTTGAAGTGTCCTGACTTCCCTGGTGTCCTTCATTAATCAAAATCAGACAAGTTTACAAGTTGCAATTCTTCGCTTAGGGCCACTAAAGGCGGTCGCTTGACGCCACAATTACAACACGACTTGTGCTTTTTCAATCCTGTAAATCGCTCCGTAAATTTTCCCAATTTTTTGTTTTCGTTTTTCGTTTTTATTACATCTCTTACTGACCTCTCTTAAATATTACAGGAGCTGGTTGGTAATAGCAATATAAACTTAGTGGTGATCAACAAGCTCTCTCAGCCATTTGTGGCTCGCCTAGTTCGCATCCATCCCATCGTGCAGACAACATATGGTTACTTGAGACTAGAGTTGTACGGCTGTCCAGGTATTGAAATATCGGAACATCCATTAGAAGGACAATTACTCTGGACATGTAGACATATTCTCTAATCCACGGCCAAATTATCTGGTGTTGCGCTCTGTACAGAAGGTCGGAAATCTGCAAAAAATAATAAAAAAAACTAAAAACATAATGGCGGGGGTTTGGTACGGAGTGAAATCGCTTTCCTTATTCCGCTGCGTTTTGCCCAGGCCGTCCCACCTTTGGGCTGGTTCTCATAAACTGAGTGCCTGCAACAGGCTATAGGTATTGTGTTTCGAGACCACGAGGTTACAGTTAAAATCCTTTTGAGGTTCTTAATTGAGCGAAATTAGGATTTGCGTAGTTTTTTTCTCAGATATGTACCCTTCTTGACTGCATTGGTTTTGCTTTACCTCGCTCTACGATTGGTGCAGAAAACTTGTTCTACTCTCTCAACCAATCAGGTGAAAAGTTAAACCTAATTACGACTTGGTCGCGCGCGTTTTCCCGCGCTTTAGGTAGTTGGGTATTTTTCCTCTCTTCTGATTGGTATTTTTGATAATTTGGTTTGGTTTTATGACGTTCAATCGAGAAGCGCTATATAACAAGTCTAATCAAGGATTCTTTTTACTCTCACACTCTTGCCAGTGGTTTATGTAATCTTGGAGTAATTCTTCATTCCAAGAGAGCAAATTCATTTTATTTCCTCTTCTTTTTGCAGATAAGAACAACTGCGATAGTTCTCCGTGTTGGAACAACGCCACATGTAAAGATCATCTAAGTAGTTTTAGCTGTATGTGTCCTCCCGGATTTACGGGAGAGACTTGCGAAACGGGTGAGTGGAAAATTGCGATTAAGGCGTTCTTGACACTCAATCAAAGTCCGCTCTAGATTCCAGTTCTCTGTGCAAAAAAAACGCGGCACTCAGTTGGTATAATGTAAATTAGCCACAGAAGAGAATTTATGGTAATACTTGCGATTCGCAAGTTTTTGCCTAATCATTTAACGTTTTAGGACCTTTTTTGCGACGCACAACCAAAAAACAGATAAGTAAGCAGAGGAAAGAGAGTTGGGGTGCTTGCTTTTATCTTTTTTTGGCGCGAAAATCCATGAATACAAATTATCTAATCATATGCAAATGAAACATTGAAAGCATGGACTTTGCATGAACATCTTTCCGAGGTTATTACCTTTATAAATTAGTACACTACCAACTAACTTGAAAAAGGCGTCAGCTAAGTTGCTTATCTGTTAAAAGTTCAGAGTCGTATTTAGAGTTTTAAGGGGTGTTCTAACGTTAAAGATTTAAAAAGGATATAGTTGTAACCCTGGATATGTGAAAGCGATGATATGTAGCCTACGGAGGAGGCGTAGTTCTTTCGTAAAATGCAACGGTAGGAGCGCCTTTTTTTCACGCTCCCCCCTCGCGCTCGATTTAAGTTCGCCTCTGTTTGCCTAGAAAACGCCAAAAAAATACGCCTGTTCTGTAAGCTGTGATTATTTGATCAAATGCTCAAACCAGCCAATTATTAACCTGTCGGTTATGACCACTCTACAAAATTAAGACCATAAATCAACACAAACCTAACAAGCGCTTGTTTTGCTTGCGATAGATATCGACGACTGTTCCAGTTCTCCTTGCCAAAACGGGGGATCATGTGTCGATCACGTGAACAACTTCAGTTGTGTGTGCTCTCAGGGATTCACGGGACTTAAGTGCGAATCAGGTTATAACGAATCATTTCTCTTGACCTTCCTCTCTTTTACTATGGCGTTTCGTGTGATAAGTTGGCTTATAGTAAGAGTTCAAACCACAGAAAACTAGGTCCTATCAGAGAGAATATAGTTTTAGCTGGGGCGAAAAAATAAGCACGGTTAAGTTTCCGTTCACGATCCTAAGCATGACTTTATCAACTGAGTTGATAATGTAAATTGGCTACCGTGGACATTCCTAAAGCTGACGAGCTAATGCGAGTCATCTTTGGAAACTCTCCTCGGTGGCAAGTTGCATTATCGACTCAGTTCATAAAACAAGACCCAACCGCCCCGCCCCCCCACCCCCACCCCCACTCCCACCGACACAGCATCACATTTTCTTTATAAACTTACCCCCTTTATCCTCGCCTCTCAGTCTTAACCATTTTCATAAATTAGACAAACATGCCTTCAAGAAAGATGGTCGATTTGTTGCAACTTGTTTCAGTTTTAATTTTTCTCCATCATTCAAGGTAAATGAAACTAACTTGAAATTCGCTCTGACGAAAGGCTAACGCTCGAAACGTCAGCTTTGAAACTCTTTACGGTGGCAATTTGAACTATCGACTCCGTTGATAAAACCAACTTATCATGTAAGACCCCGCCCCGGACACAGCATCACAAGTTTCTTTAGAAACTTACCCCTTTTATTAACTTGAAATTCGTTTCTTTACCTTTATGAAAAAACTCTTTAAAGCTTCAAAAGCCTCATATTTTAAAGACACATTGACAAGGCTTCAGTCTAAAGCTTAGTTAACTATAGTCATTTTTCACGTCTCACGTCTCACGTTTCATGTCTCACGTCTCACGTTTCACGTCTTGTGTTCTCAGTTCTCAAACCAAGCTGCACCTGTGGTCGACGCACCACCCGACGTATCGTGGGCGGTAAAAGGGCGTTACCAGGGGAGTGGCCATGGCAAGCCGGTCTTATGGTCAAGAATACGAAGCAGATTTACTGCGGCGGAGCTTTGATTAACCAAGAATGGATCGTGACAGGTGCACATTGCGTGACATACAGAAATGCCTCAACGTTGATGGTCGTGCTCGGAGAATACGATGTTACGAGGAAGGAAGGTATTGAACTCTTCCGAGAGGTTGATGGATATCAGTTGCATCCGGACTACCACTTATTAACAGCAGACTTTGACATTGCCCTTGTTCGCTTTAAACCAGCTTTAAGCCAGTTCAGCAGGTTTATATCGCCCGTTTGCTTGCCAACAGCTAACGAAAGTTTCCCGGCAGGAACCAACTGCACGGTCACTGGTTTTGGTCGGCTTACTGAAGCTGGTCGACAAGCAACAACTCTACAACAGGCCGTGTTACCAATTGTATCACGGGACACTTGTCAAGCTGCCTACCCAGAATACCATATCACGCCCAGGATGACGTGCGCAGGATATGTTGCTGGGGGTATAGATGCCTGTCAGGGGGATAGTGGGGGACCATTAGTGTGTCGTAAGGATAAGATACACTGGTACCTGGCTGGTGTCGTAAGCTGGGGTCTGGGATGTGCCAGGCCTGAATCATATGGGATTTATGCTAATGTACCAGTGTTAGCATCATGGGTGAGGTCTGCATTAATCAATTCCACCATTTGTTCACCTTGACATTGCAAAATTAATTTCTGATATCATTAGCAAGATCTATCACTAGTAAAGAAATTTTTGTGACTCCAAACTGTTACTGTACACAATTTTGGGGGTTCAAATATCAATATTTGTTGTCCATATTCTTAACCTTCTGAAATGAAAATTATTAGTTTTATTATTTAGGTTATTGAGAATAACTATCTTTTATCTTGCTCTGCACAATGTTATTGTACCAAAGCACTGATTTCAAAATTTGTTGCCTCTTATGATCCCTTAAAATTCAGTTGCTATCATTTGCTCTAACAAATATACTATAACAATATTTATTTCCCTTTGGGAAAGTTCCTACTTTGCCTCTCGTTAGACAAAGCTCTTAAAATACCTTGGAGTCTGGACCTTCATCCCCTCTAATCCTTCAATTTGAGATTCCAAAGAATAACCTTACTGTTTAAACATTGTCTTCAAATGGGCTATAAAAAAGATAGAATGCTGCCATGTTGAAAGGACTTTTAATTAGTGACCCCAATGGATGAATACCAAACAGCTGCTGCTGTTGCTATTGCAAGTTTAAAAAGTAAATTACCTAAGTTATACATGGATTTTAGGCACTTCATAAATTTCAAACAGATCATCAACAGTTGGAAAAAAAGGAGTTATTTTTTCAACTAAGTCAAGCAGCTGAATTACTAAAGCAAGAATCACAATGGCTGTCTATTGTCAACTTTTAAGCTTACTTGAAGAGAACTTGTGAGAGCTAGGTGACTATTTGGAATATTTTAACACAGTCAGTAGTGCAAAAATAAATTAGTTTTTTTGCTGGCACAAACCCCCTTACTTCATACTTTTTAAAAGTGATAAGCATGGAATTTGACTGACATCAGTTTAGCAGAAGAATCTCAATCTATGTATACACAGCTGAGAATTTCCAATGGCTTCATTCTAAATAATTGTGTAATAAAATCAATTTTCAGATGCTCAACAAAAAGATGTGTTACTGATTAAGAGCCTATACAACACCAGTGGATGAAAAAAATTCAAAAGAAACCTAAAGTGAAAAATTTGCACTGTTCTCATGAAAAATTAAATTTAAAAGTCACATTTTGCTAAAATACTTCAATCATTGGCAAAATTGTCATTAAGTCTTTCTGAAAATAATGCTATTTTGTTGTGAAACAATATATTTGTGTATTTGCAAACTAGTCCAAAATATGGTCTGTTCAGACCCATAGAGTAATCACCCTATCAACTAGGGCTTTAGTGACTAGCCTGTGTTCTTGCAGAAAAACAAAGATTGCAATTCTGAGAAAGGGTGGAATTGACACCCTAGTGGGATTGTCAGCCCTTTGTGACTAATGTTCATTTAGAAGTTAGGAAAAGTATCAATTAATTTCATAATTATCCGATAGGGTCTAACAATTTCTAATGGTTATCCAAAGGGTGATGTCACTAGTCATGTGACTGTGTCATGCCAGATTGTCACGTAGGTCATGCAGAGTTATTTTGATGGAGGAAAGAAAAGAAAACTTCCTGTTATCAGACCCTGTTGGTTAATTATGAAATTAATTCATATTCATCCCAACAATATACCCACACTACATGGGTTTACTCCCATTACCCCCTAACTAGATTGGATCTGCTCCTTCTACCCTACATCCCACACCAGAGGCTCTGTTCATCCCATCCCATCTGCAAGGACACAGAAAGAGCTCTAAGGGATATTGTCTCTCATCAACACATACAACAAATACTAACAGGATTATGCAATTACATGCACTTAAGGCTAAATAGCCCTGATCACTTTTTCATACTTTCTTCAGATAAATGTCAACTACTGTCTCATGACATTCTCGTAAGTCAAAGTCACAGAAACCAATACAGAACTTTCCTGGAGGAGGTTTGAAGTAGTCAAGTCCTCTACCAATTTTGATCACCCAGCCATTGCTGAATCTAATCTCGCGATCATGAAGTGTTTGAGAGAATCCAATCTCAAGATTTATGTTGTATTTTTTTAAACTGTTTTTTAGTCCTTGAAGTCTCTTAGCCTGATTATTTTGACTCTCTTGATCTTCATCTTGAGCTAAGAAAACACCAAGTAATAGTTAGCTTTATTGAAAGGGTGGCCAAGTCAAAGCATATATAAATGCAAAAGGATGAACTTGCTCAAAATTTTTTCTCAAGATAAACAGCTGTTACTATTTTCATTTTGATCCACCCTCTTGACTCTGTCTGGGTGGAGAGCTCTGAGTTAGAGATCTAACCCAGATCATTTTGCTTTCTCTTAGACAAGAAAGTATTTACAAGCTACTCTCAAAATCCATCTCCTCACCCAAAAAGGAAAATTGGTCCCAGAAATCTGCCAAGTAGACTTTAGAAAATGTTTGTCAGAAACCTGCAATGTGCCGACATCCATATAGGGAAAGTTGCAGTACCTTAAGTTAATTCCTGCTGCAGAAACTAGGAAAAGGCATAGCTTGTGCAGACTTTGGTTGAACCGGCAGAACAAATTCTGGTTCATTGTGGAAGGCCATTGTAGCAAACAAGCTGGACTCTGAATTATCTGGGATCTGAGCATTAGGTATATTTTGGGTCAATGAGCTCTGTTTTTACTAAAGAGATATATTCCCTTGTTGCCTTTTTTTACTATGAAAAGTGACTGAGCTTCATATTACAACAATTTTCTCACCCCCAAAACTCTGAAAATGCATAAACCCATCCTAGTAACTCTTTTGAAACTGCAACCCAAACATAGTCAA